AAATCGCCGGAGAAGATAGAACTCGTCTAGTCGGAATCTCAGGGAAAGAGGACAATTGAAATCGGCACTCGAAATCGCCGGAGCTCTGCAATTTTTTTTCAAATTTTCGCCGGCAATCGAAATAGAGAGAGAGGGATTTTTTTTGCTTTAGCATTTCTTAGTGATGATATTGGGGAGCGGGAGATTGATTTTAGGAAAAAAAGAAAAAGCTGAAAAAAATGAGTTCAAGGGCACATAAGTCTTTTTGGCACCCAAATTTGGCTATATTTCATTTTTTTAAAAAAGATGGTCATATTTCATTTTTGTCTTTAGTTAAGTGCTATAAAGAGCCATTACCACTAATTTATTTGTTTATGGTGTCCTTTGAGGCAGATGGGATTTTGTGAGAGCTGCATAATGAGTAGCTGTGTGAGACCAAGTGTTAGTAGCAGTTCAAATCCAGTAGTCCTTCTCTACTGCTTTGATAGGTATATATTGATTAACATGCGTGTCTCTTCTTTTTCTCTTAATAAATATATTATAATTCATGTTTGTGGAACTTGATGTTTGTGCAGCTCATGTTTAGAATGGAGAAGTGTTTATCCCTTGCTGGAAGAAGCCGGTTTGGAGGCCTGGGCTGTCGATATTCTCGGATGGGTCTTTTCTGATTTAGGTTCATTCATTCTCTTGGGATCACTATAACTAACTCTTGTTTATTAATAATTCCCAAAACTAATGTTTTCTTGTTTTTTGTTTATGATTTCGTTACTAGAAAGACGTCCACCTTGCGATGCAACATCAAAACGAGGCCACCTATATCAGGTATTTGATATTTCATTGCTCATATATTCAGTGGTTTACATATGTCATGTGTACCGAGCTATGGAAGTTTACTAATTTTCTAATCTAGCTATGGAAGTCTCACATAAAAAGACCCATGATCTTAGTTGGACCGAGCCTTGGTGCAGCCATTGCCATAGATTTTGCAGTCAGTTTTCCAGAAGCTGTAAGATCGTTTTTTCCCAAATTGGTTCTCTTATATTAAACTTGATGCAGCACATCAAATTTCTTTGTATCTCATTTTCATGAAATTAAACTTCTTAATTAATATATTCTGCCTCCAACTAGGTAACCATCAGAAGCTGTCAAGAACAGTTTTAAGTTTTCATAAAGTGGTGCACTATTTTCTAATCATTGTAGTTGTGCCTCTGTTGAAAGTTAGACATATGTATTATATATACAATGCTATCTGGGAATCACTGTATATATTTTTGGCTTTTGCTACTTAAGTTTCCCGGCTCATATGGCGTTCCTCGTGATATTTTGCAGGTTGACAAGTTGATTCTTATCAATCCAAATGTATATGCAGAAGGCACTGGAAATATGACTAAGTTACCAAAAGTGGTGGCATATGGAATGGTGATACAATAACGTTCCAATAACTGACAAACTCATTTTCGAATTCTTAGGGGGGTGATTGGTAATTTATAATAAAAAAAAAAATGTTTTGATTGGATATTATATGAAGTGAGTTAATTTTTAAAAAGGTTGATTGAGTGGAGAATTTAGTGGATTTTGAGTTTCTATTCAAATAATATTTAAAATGTAATGACTAAAATTGATGTCATGTAAAAGTAGAACGGTAATTGAAAATGATACGTAGTTAAAATGAACGGTGAGTTAATCCGATCAATATTTGTTTGTTGATTGTATTAGGTCTCCCTGTTGAAGAGTATGCCAATTAGGTGGTACGCCAAGCTTCTGATTTTCGACGGAATATCATTGTCTAGGCTATTAGATTATACAAATGTGAGTTGATCGGATTTCTAATTCATTGCTCCTTCAAAGTTGTTGTGGTTAGCCATGAGATTTTTACGTGTCAATGCAATCTTTTTGAGTAACCCAATCTCAGGTCGGCCGCCTTCACTGCCTCTTGCCATGGTGGGAAGATGCCACTGTAAATTTTATGCTCAGTGGTGGTTATAACGTCACCGGCCAAATAAAACAGGTAAATCTTTATAACGACTACTTATTCTTGTCTTCAAACGAGAATCATTGTTGGTGATTGATTTTAAACATTATTTTGAGCCACCATTCAAATTAATATAAACTAACTTATCAATTAACAGTTCCCAAGAAATTTTTTGCAGTCTCCAACTCGACCAAACCAAATTCAAAGTAAAACTCATTTGAATTAGCAGTTCTCATAGCTCAGCCGCAATGCAGCTCGCATGTCTGCAGATTTAACTAATAAGATTTTTTCGTTTTTTGTGTTTCTGTCTCTGCGTGCTATATAACTCTTAACGGGTGAAACATTTATGACACCAGCTGAAGCAAAAAGTTCTCCTCATTTGCAGCGAACACGATAAAATTGTAGACAACAAGCTTGTTGAGGTGAGTTTCGATACTAAATTTTTCTCACAAACAATAAAATTTAAGAGACAGATAAAGTAGCATTTGGAGTGGGCTTTGGAAACCAATCGCTATCCTTCTTCGTCTCGTTTTTTTTTTTTTCTCTTGACAAATTGTCGATGGTTTTTGTAAATGCAAATGCAGAGACTACACGCGGAAGTCTCAAGCGCAAGTATGCGTAAAGTACCGAATTGTGGTCATTTGCCTCACATTGAGAAGCCGTATATGATTGCTGAGATGATCGTTGATTTTGCTGGAGGTTCAGCTACTTGTGAAGACCGGCCAATTTCTACCAAAATCACCAATAATGTATCATACAGAAACTGATTGTGGTGTTGAATGTGTAAGGAAAAAAAAAAAAAANNNNAAAAAAAAAAAAAAAAAAAGATTAGAACCAATTGGTGTTCCTTGTTTGATCAAGTACATAGCCAAAACACTTTAATGCAACCTAATCTTGTAGATCAAGGCAAACGGATTGTAATTTAATGATTTATCTTATATGTTGGGTTCATAATTTCATGATTTTTGAGTTGTGATATGTATTATTTATTAATTATTAATTATCGTTCAATTTATAAAATCATATTTTTTGAATATTTAGTTTTCCTTTTATAAGTAAATAATTTAATATGTCTTTGTTCATATGCTTTGAAAAAAAAAAATATGAATATGAAAAATAAGATAAATTATCTCAATTTTCATATTCATATTTTCTTTTTCAAGAAAAAATTCTATTGTAGAGTTTGACTTTTTGTTATTGTGTCATAATAAGGTCTGAATTTTTAACTTTTTATTTGAAGGTTTGAATTTTAAGTTATTCTCAATATAAGACATACTTTTACATTCTACTATTCAATTTAAAACTTCAAATCACTTTGTATATAATTATGTAAACAATAATAATTTTTTTAGAAAAAAATATTTTAAGTATTTATAAATGAAGAATATTAAATATATTTAGTAAAATTATCTAATAAGATAATTATTTCATAATTTACATTTATGTAAAAGCTTAATGAAATTTATTTTATAATTTAAAAAATAGATTTTAACTTAATTTTTATCTAAGTATGTGATAACATTAAAATATAAACTATTTAGAAAAATATTTTTTGTTTAAATAAATTTACAGAAAATATTATTTTTGAATAAAATTTATATTTTTGAAAAAGTTAAGTACATATAAAATTAATACCCGAAAAATTCAAAAAAGTTAAGAATATATAAAATTAATACTCGAAAAATTCTATTGTAGGTAGTTTATTCATGATTGGAGAGTTTTAATGTACCAGCCACTTTAGTGATTAACAAAATAATTTAATCTTAATGTCATACAATAAACATAAATATAACATTATAATTTACTATTCATAGTCATCATTCATTACAGTAATTTTATCAAGGTATAAATCAAACTCTCATGCGCAAACTAACAAACTCATGAGAAGGGCATGCGATAACTAACAAATTGATGAGAAGGGCATGCAAAAACTAACAAATTCATGAGAATGACACAAACTTTTAGATAACCACACATAATATATGCATTGAAATCAGGGGCGGAGTTAGGATTTAAAATTACCTGGGGCTAATGTAATTGTCATCTACCCTTATTTTTAGACTCAAACTCGGTAACTTCAACATCATTACTAATTATTTCGATCAACTCTCTTTCAATGTAAATAAACATTGAATCCGCCAAAAACTCTTCTTCCATTGACCAACTCTCTTTCAATGTAAATAAACATTGAATCCGCCAAAAACTTTTTCTATTTTATTACGAATCACTGTCTTAACAAGCTTCATAGTTGAAAACGCTCACTCTGTAATTGTCGTAGACATAACGAGAGTTAAAACAAGACGAATTAACCTGTAGAATAAATTAAGTAAATTAGATCGAATAAATATACTATTTTTTTTAACAAAAATGCCTTAAAGAACGAATTGATAGTCTTTCTTTTCTTCGTTCGTTGATCCTCCAATATGATTGAAACCTAAGAAATTAACAAAAAATAGTGAATTAATGAATAATATATTTGCAAAATGATTTGATGGTAATGTGTTTTTAGTAAAATAATATTTGGATATGATAGATGAAAAATAAGTGAGAATAAATGGATCACTATGACAAATATGCATATACAATTGACAACAAATATAGTGGATGGTAAATTTTACACCACAGCTTTTTATACAAGCACAAGCATGATTATTTTGTGACATCCGTCTCTCATTTTACTCTTTTTGTGACATCTACCGATTCTTTTTAAGGAAATGGGTCAAAAACACCTCTAATGTTTGCTACAAGGTACATATGTGTCCATGAAGTTTCTTCAGGTACAAATATACCATTAAAGTTCAACCAATAATGATGTTTACATTCTTCCTAATAGGGAAAAGAGCTTTATTAACTCCTCATTAACTTATGACCAAAAATACATTTAATAATACGTAAACACTTGCTGATAATTCTTTGGACAATTTTATATCTGCAAAAAAAAAGTAAATTATGAAAAATCATAAAAATGCAAAAAGGCAAAATATGTTTGGAATTGTTTTGTCAAAAGGAAAAATAATTGCCAACACAAAACTTATATTATTTTAAGATTATACGGAGGCTAATAAAATGGGATTGTTTGATTTCAATATATTTTTCTTAACTAAAAATACTCAATGCATGCAAATTTAACTGTTAGAGGTGAAACTTGTGCTTTCAAAATATGTTAAAATGCATGCAAATTTAATTTTCTATTTTGCTTCCAGAATAATTCATATACATATGTGAATATTACTTTTTAAATTATACATGATAGATATATTTCTCGCTTTATTTCAATTATAGGAGAAAATCAATATACTGCAGACCATATATAAAATAGAACTCTTAACAAAACCTAAAATTTGATATATTCAAATCTCCATTGGCATGTTATGGGGACAATTTTTTATTTTTTTTAAAAAAAGAATTTCACTTAGATTTTAGGTTGTTAGAACAATAGAATACTCAACAAATAATTTAAAATGACATTAAAATTATAAACTGAAAACATTATTATTTATTTAGGAGAAATTTGCTTACAATGTTGATAAAGTCCCGAGAGATGTTGTCATGCAAGTGTTTTTTATCGCTATGAAACAATGAATTGAGGGGCGTAATTGAATAAAATGTTTAAAGCCCATATGGGTAGCAATGATATATACATTAATAATAGCAAACTTTAATGATATATTTGCACAAACTTTATGGAAATATATGTACCTTATAACAAACATTGATGATATATACATTTAGCAACTTTAATGATATATTTACACTTAAAGAAACTTCATGGACATATATGTACCTTACAACAAACATTGGGGGTGTTTTTGACCCATTTCCCTTCTTTTTATAACTAAGTGTTGTTGGACTTTTAGTTCTTTGCTAAATTTCTGACATCTACCAATTCTTTTTAAGTAGCTAATTTTTTATGCTACAACGTGTGCTATTTTTTATTTTTCCCCAGTTTTTAAAGCCATGAGTAATTTTTTTGTTTTTGGATAATTAATGAGGTGAAGTAAAGTGAGTGCAATCTTTTCAAGGAATTCCTATACCACATTCTATTTCTCACCAAAACAAAAAACTAAAACCAACCCATTCTACAGTCGCTGTTCGATTTCTTACCTGCTAGGGTTGCGGTCGTGGCCTGTGGTGGATTGGCGGCGTCCGGCGAGGATGACTGGAGTTTGGAGGAGTTAACACGTGACCGTGGCGGTGGGATTGGCGGCGAAGAGGCGTGAAGCCGGGGCCGTGGCAAAGGGATTCGCTGCGAAGAGGAGAAAAGTCGGGAGATCTAGTCGTGCTCGAAAAGAAGATTAATAAGCAGAGGTCTAGGTTTCTATTTTACATTATAAACCAAAGAAAAAAATCAACACTTTTATGTTGGACAATACAACATGTGTTCAGGCCAGAATATGAGTTTATTTTCCTAATTTGTTGGGCTTTTTGTTGGGCTAGTTCAAATGAATAAGGTGGGCTATGTATAAATTAGGGGCTGTGACCAAAATAATCTAAGTTCTAAACTAATTTTTTTTTTTTATATGGGGCTGGAGCCCACCCTAGCCCATGGTGGCTCCGCCCCTGATTGAAACTGAATTGTGTTTATGAAAACCAAAAAAAAAAAGAAATAAATCTTCATTGTCCGTAACAAAAAAAAATAGTTAGGGAAGAACATGGCAATCGTCAACATGCTTCTTCACCGATAACGTTTTCTGGATGATGATCAGGATCGAGACTACTTCTAACTGTCGCCGCCTCCTCCTCCTCATAATAATACTTATTGACAAGTTGAAGTGCAAAAAGCACGAAGACGACAACAAGAGGGGCCCACATGGGGAATCTGAACGCCAGATTGATCGCCACATCAGCCAGCACGGCCAACGAGAAATCACGAAACCCGAAATTCACGATACCCCAATAAATTGAACAAGGCAATAAAGTGTATAGGAAGAAGGCCTTACGAACAGCAAAAAGTGCACCAAATGTCCCCACTTGGGCCAAATAACTAATCCTCGAGCCCACGAGCACGAATCTACGAAGGATGGTTACCGAAGTTAGGACCATCATCTAGAAAGCGTAGAAGCAGAGTTCGCATGTGACAACTTTCGAATTGGTATTGCCATTTCTAAGCGTTATGTGGAGCTTCCAGAGGATTGTTTCGACAAGGGCAAACATAGGAATGTACTACAATATGACCGCCATGAACCAAAATCTTCCCTTTCGTTTCCCCAGATGTCCCAGGGCAGTGCCTTTATATTTCTCGTGCGATTCTTCTTCAGTAATCTCATCAGTACTCATATTACATATATACATTGATCTTTGTATAGTAATATATAATTTCTCAATAATTTGCTTCCTCCAATTTCAACCACTGTAATTAATATGCATACCATTATTGCAGATGAAGTATCCACAACGTGTTATGGGTTTGATTCTTGTTTCCGCCTCCATGCAAGCACCATTTTGGACAGAGTGGTTGTACAATAAGGTATATATTCTTTCCCTTGTCGGGCGCAACCTCACACCCTACAACCAAAATTTAAAAATCAAACATAAAAAATGAGACAATTCTGTAACATTATTCGAGGACTCGTCTTATTTACTGAAAAAACCAATTACCCCCTTCTTGGTACTTGTGTACGACTCCATAATGTTTGCAAGGGTGCAATTTTATAAAGTAGTAGAAACATAGATCAAGTAAGGTACTTGTCAAAATTTGTATTTTGGAAGATAGGTGAGGATTTTGTAATATATATATATATAGGGTTGGGTTCAAGTGAGAATGATT